AAAAATGTCAGATGCTTTAATAGCTAGCATAGTTTCTTCAACTTGATGCCCTCCTAATGCGGTGAACTACAATGGATGATTTGTAGTCCAAAATATCTGGAGGTCACCAGGTTGGGGAAGCCTCCTGGATTTTTTTACTCAGATTTCACAGGGAATTTATTACTCAGATTTCACAGGGAACATAACTTATTGGTAGTTCATAATTTTTTAAAATCTGACCCAGCCTTCCCCAATATGACACTTCTACCAGATACATTCAACTATAGTACCCATCATTCCCAGCAAAATTGGCTGACTGACATTTTGGGCAGGAGATAGTGGCCATGATAATAAGAAGATGGAGAAATTAATTCTAGGCCAGAAGAATAAACAGCTTGGCTTGGCATTAAGCAACTTCCTATGTTCTAATTATATTTTTCCGAATTCAAGGAAAAACAAAAATGAAGTTCACTGTCAGCATGGTCTACAAATCTATGCTCAGTAAGGTGCTCCTCCAAATCCCTTTCTTCTTTTACAAACAACCACAGACTAACATGGCTCTGGAACAAAATGTGAGTATTTTGAGTAAATGCAAAAATTATTTTGACCTCCAGCTGGGGTGACTGCAAATATCTATCATCAGCAATCTAAATGTGATGATTAACACAGACTCTCATAGGCATGGATCCTCCAAAAGCCACTTTAAAACCTCTTTGGCTCAGGAGTTTTCCCAGCATCAAATTAAAATGATATTCATCAAAGCCAAACACATACAAGCATGGATGCAACAAAGCCACATTATAAGATAGTTAAAAAAGGTGTTGTTACCTTATTTTCTTAGCAGTATTTGTAACCTTCTTCCCCTGTAAGAAGACAGAATTTATGAATTTCGTTTCGATGACAGATCAAATGGGGTCTAAAGACAATATATCATATATACTCGACTATAAGTCAAGAAATGTATGCCCCAAAATTGACCCTATAATACTGTGTCAATTTATATACAGGTTAATATACTGATATTATTTAGAAAGGTCCTGAAACAAGCAAGCCTGATGCCCCACTCTTTGTGCCCTGAGGCATGTTCTCTCTCTCTCTCTCTCTCTGTGAAAGAGGTTCCCAGTCTGATTTGCAAGGCTTCTCATTCCTTGGCAAAAACTCATTGAACACCACTTTCTTCTCTCCCCAAGTCCAATTTACAAGGCTTCTCTTCCCTAGGAATAAAACTCCCCATTTAACACCACTTCCTTCTCTTCCCCAGTCCGATTTGCAAGGCTTCTTTTCCCATGGAAAAAAAATCCCATTTAACACTACTTTCTTCTCTTCCCCAGTCTGATTTGCAAGGCTTCTCTTCCCATGAAAAAAACAAACAAACAAATACCCCTTGTAACTCTACTTGCTTCCCTTCTTAATCCAATGTTAAAACCAGCACCTGGGAATCAGTGTTAGGTAGTCCAGAGAGGTCCAGAGACAGAGAAGGAGGGACAGAAGTGGTATTTTCCCTTTTCCATCCTTTCTTATAGCTCCTTAAGTTTTACCCTCAACTTATCTACGAGTCAAATCAAAATCCTGGATTTTGACTCTGAAACCTTCCTTTGATTTATACATTTATACTTTTACATGAGTATATATGGTAATCTGTGGTCTGAGACATAAAAAATTGCAGCGTTACACTTGTTTGATTATTCAAGTTCTGTGTTCAGCGAGCTCATTCAGCTTCTGTTTCATTATATGCTCTTGCGCCTCATGTCAATATTGTCTCTGTATCCTTGAATGGGTCTCCATTTTGTAACAATGCAGTATGTACAGCAATTAGGTTGTCTCAGATTATATGTCCTTGAATGACCAAAGCCTCAATGAATAAATAAAGCCCAGCTAGCCACCTTATGTGACTTTGATCACTGAGAGTGCAAGGACAGCAGGGACCCCTGGGGAGCAAGCAAAGGAAACTGTAGCCAGTTACACTGATTCAGCACCACAGACAAATCAATATCTTGCCTGGGAAAGACCAGTCAATAAATTGACCTAGGTTCTGAGCTCAGCACAAATACTTTAGCATGTGGTGGTGGGTTGGGGGGGGGAGGGAGAAAGGCTCCATTGATCTCCAGAAATCTTCAAAAAGGTAGCCATACTAGTCTGTTGTAGCAATCAACCAGGAGTCATGTAGCAT